CCCTTCCCTTCCCTTCCCTTCCCTCTCCTCAGGGAAGGCTGAGGGGGGCCCAGTGCACACATCCAGCTGCTGCACCCAAGGTCCACTTCCACCAGAGCAAGATGCCCCTCTTCTCCACTCCCATTTTTATCAGGCTAGGATTTCTCTGCTTGTCTCCCAGTGGAGGTGAATAACAAGCTCTCTTTTTTGCCCTCCTCTCATTTTACAGCCATCTCCCTTCCCGTGACAAACGACATGAATAAAGGGGACACTAAGGTAAGGATGGGCCTGTAGTGGAAGGGGCAAGTGAAGTTGAAGGATATGATGTTTAACCTCCACCTAGCTGGCTGGCTTTTGCTGCCCCTGCTGAAATGCCCTGTAGGAAGTGCCAGGGATTTGCATGAGATCCCTACAGCAGGATCCACCTCCCCTCCCTCCTGCTCCTGCCCTACCAGGATTTACCCTTTGTGCATCCACTTCTGGGCACCTGGACAGGAGGGAAGTCCCTCAGGATGTACCAGAGGGACCAAACAAGCTTGTCTGGAGAATGGTGAGGCTGGGGATGGAGGTTCTCCCCAGTCCTCCTACTTACAGCTTTTCAAAGCTCCCAACAGGAGGTGACTCAGGGGAGAGTGGGGGAAGATGTGATTCAGGAAAGGACATCACTGGAACTGTGTGTGTTTGGGGGTGTGTATACATTTGTGTTTGTATGTCTGTGGTGTGTTACGTAAACATGCACGTTCCTGAAAAATAGACAACTGGCTACTCACAGATTGTTAATCTGTCCTCAGCTACTGCTCAGCTTGGCTGGATGTCTACAAGCAGTGTGGGACTTGGCTGACCTCTCCAGCCTTCTTTTATAGGCTTCTGTGCGTACATCTGTGTCATATCTCTCTGACATTCACAGCTGCACTTTGCAAGCATGTGCACTCCCAACGGGCTTTAGTCACCTTTGGATAGGTGTGTTTGCCTGTGTTGATCTGTGACAGACCTCCCCTTCCTGATATTATAACGCCTATAGTCTTTCAGATGAGCTGATCTCGCAGCTGTCCAGGTTAAGATTTCTACAGAAATTGATGTCCAGAAAGGAAACACCAGCCTTTTCCCCCCTACTTCTTGAACATCTTTGTTTCCTGAAATCTTCTAGCCACATGATGTTTTTCCCCAGGCAGCAGCAGGGGAGGGCACATGTCACTCTCAGCCCCAGGCTCCATTGTGCAGCTTCTCCGCTTGTTGTCACCTACAGGGCAAGTGCTATGAGACACGCTTCCCTGTGTCCTGTCAGATGTGCCTGGGCCTGGAGAGCTGTTGCTTTGTTAAGACCTTTAGCCTGCTTAGCCCCTGCTGGGGCTGAGCCATGAGCCGTGAGCCACTGGATGCCTGCTTCAGGCTGTGTGCTGCTAACTGAGAAAGGGGACTCAGGGCAGGCACTTGCCCCTTCAACTAGCTATGCCAGAGTGGGATGCTCACTGGGCACCTGGTAGGACAATCCATTAATTCCACAATCTTCCTTGTGAGATCTATTCTCCAAAACATGGCACTTCCCAGCAAGCCACATTTAGCTTTTGTGGAAGCTGGTGCAACTCCATGGAAATGCTTCTACTGAGGAAGGATTGTCTCCCAAGCCTGTCCCCTCCCAGGGTACTGCACTGAATCTAGCTGAGAGCGAAATCAGATCACACCTTTCTTTTGATTTTTGCTGCAACTGGAAGGAGCCATTAGGGCTCTTTCGCCTTCGCTGCCCTCTGAGACAGAGCATCTCAGTGAAGGAAGTCCTGGTCTCACGGGACAGATCAGGGCAGGGATATCATTACATGGGTACAGCAGGGAGCACTGCAGCTCTTCCTACACATCATGCTGCTCTAGATGTGCGCTGTGCCACCAGCATTTGTGGGTGGCTCGGGGCTGTGAAATGGGTAGTCAGCATCTGCAGGCCTTTCCTGGGCAGCTCATCAGACTTTCCTTACACCAACAGCTTTCCATGGGGAGCTGAACACGACCAAAGCATTTACAATACCTCTGGTGTTTGCCCACTCTTGTGCTTGAAGGACACTATTCCCCACTTACAAGCATACATTTCAGAAGGGCCCGAGCACAGCCGAGCTCAAAAGTGGTGAAGTCTGCCCTTGTAAGGACATGATCCTTTGGAGATTTCTATGTAGGGACAGCAAGAGCAGCTCTTAAGGATCTAGTTACATGCTCACAGTTAGAGGGTAGCTATGGCAATATTCCAGTCTGAGTTTCTGCACTGGATTAATTACATTCATTTGGAAAGGATCTCCTTCATTTCCTGATGCAGGCTGTTATTTCATGACTTTGTGAAGTGTCATTCTGCACGACTTGCTCTTACAAAAAGTCAAGGACAGTGTTGTGGAATGACTGCACTCTTCATTTCATTATGTTACAAAGTTCCTCCACAGAGTTGGCTGTGCTTCTGTGGTGACTGATGTGTTTCTTTGTGTTCAAAGACCTTAAATCAGCTTAGAAGTCTTCAAAAAGCTTGTCTAGAGTGTTTCATTGGACCAGGTTCTTATTTCTCATGCTGAGAAAGTCCTTACTTCTGAAGCTGCACCGAATACAGCTGCAATAAGCGCCTGCAGAGGTTGGGAAATGTGGGAGGGAAGTATCAGAATCTGGTGTTTGTTCTATTTAATGGTAGAGTGAAGTGACTCAAAGTCATCTAAAATCAATATTAATGGATTGCTTGTGGTATAGCAGAATGATACCAGGGAAATTTCCCTGCTTTCTTTTTGTTAGATCTTTCCTGTAACATTTTTAATCCAGCAGGCAATCCCCTCAAACTGTGTAAATAGTTAAGAGTTCGGCATTTTATGGCTGTGATCTGCAAAAGCAGAATTCTCTCCTTATACAGGGTGAAAATTTGCCCATTCCAGCTGGTCAATGAATATATCTAATTGCTTGAATGAGCAACATTGTAGATGACTGGGAGTTGCTGACTTGTGTTTAATTTCTACTGCAGCCGCAGTGCTTTGCTCTCCTGAGAATGGCACCTTATGAGGGAGGTCAGGACTCCTAGGGCTGCCTGCAGAAATCATCAGAAGAAAGAGGTTCAGTGAGTGAATTTTTTTGCCTCCAAGGCTTACTTGTATCCTTTTTTTTCAATTTAGCCTCTTTTTTCCACAGTCACGTGCAAAAAATCACCCTCCATACTTTCTGGGCTGCTTTATAAATAATCATCCTTTTGAACTAAGCAGCCTGATTCTTGCACTACTAACCACCACTGGACTGCAGTGAATGCTGCTTTCTCTCCTGTGTGACCATTTGGGTCTACCATGACCACACAGCAGGGCTCCTGGTGGTGTGTCTCAGTGTGGTGAGGGTGCCTTCACCCCTGCCACAGGTACCACCTTGCCTTTGCACCTCTGGCTTTCATTTTCCTACCACACGTACAGCCCTGGGTGATCCCTGTGGGATGAATCAGTGGTGCTGCAGTTGCATGGGTGAAGAGCTAGGCCTGCAATCTCAGTGCAAGTGACAAACTAGATAAATGCTTCTCATTTTACACTGAAGAAAAGGGCTGCTGGAAAGGGCAGGCCCAGAGTTCATCCTGTCTGGGAAGCTGCCTCAGGCAGTTCCAAATGCTTCAGAGGAAAGTGGAGGAACTTCCTTGCTTTCAGATGACCCGCTTCAGCAGAGAGTGAACAGCTCTTCCAGTCTATAATAGATGGCTTGAACACTCAAGCACCAAGTCAAACACTTCTCCAGAGTGTCTTGTCCTTCTCTAGGGCTTGAGATCAGTATTTCTCATCTGTGTTTGAAAGTACAATTTGCCTCACCTCACCCTCCATGCCTGGCTGCAGTCTAACTATGGCACCCTTCTCAGGGCTCGAATAGCTTGCAAAATTTCAAGGTCACCTATTGAAGAGCTTGACCACTTGTTGCTCTCTACGACCTCCCACTGAGCCCTTCTACGAGATACAGGTTGAGATATATTGACTTAAAAGACGATGATTTTGAGCTCTTTCTATATATATCCAGTTGCCATTTAATCTGATGTGCCCAGCCTCTGGGATGGGCTGGAGTCGTGAGATCCTCAGCTGAAGTGTGCGTCATGTTGAAGAAGCTCTTTCCATTGCCATGTGTCATTTGCTCACTTCTCAGTTTTGTGAGGTACCTTCTGTCCTGCATTAGGTAAAACAGGAGCTGAACATCAGTTCTGGCTCAACCAGAAAAGCAAGAGGATATGGGCCATCATCTGCTGTGTTTTAGCTTTGGTAACAAATAGATTTAGGAAAAAAAGACAACAAAACAGTGCTTTAATTTGTATTTTTGTCTCTTTCTAGGTGATGAAGTGCATTGTAGAGGTCATCTCTGATACTTTATCGAAGCCAAACCCCCTGCCGATCAGTGAGGAATGCCTAGAAACACTCAGAGGAGGTACAGGCTCAGATTTAACACTGGGTATCAGTAAGAGCAGAGACACAAGCAGGGGCTGGTCCTGCCCTGACACATGCTCTAGCACCTGACAAGGGGTCCCTGACACCTCACTTTCCTTGTGGTCACCCCACCAGGCTGCACCAGGACCCAGAAGCAGGCGCAGAGCTGCTGCTTGGCCCAGGCCATGCATCATGCTGGCACCGCAGCCGGGGGAGGTGCTGGGTGACATGAAGCTGCCTGATTTTCATGGGACCTTCCTGTCATCTTAACCACATGGCTAAGAGATGTGGCAGCAAATCAGGCCAAGGGAGAGAAAAGAGTAAACGAAGAGGGAGGTGGCATTTGGGGTTGGTTTTCATTTCCTGGGGGTGGGAGAGGTTGTCTTTGACCACCTTCTGTACCAAATCTTCTCTATTGCAGATGAACGAATCATTTCTATCCTTCGCCACCAAAATTTATTGAAGGAACTTCAGGAAATTGCAGCTCAAGGTATAGTTTCACTACAGTTATTTGGGAAGAGGGGTTTCATCTGTTGTAGCCCCTTGCACAGTTTTGTTGTTTGGGGTTTTTTGTATTTTACATTAATTTGACATCATATAAATGTGCCCTAGGAAATCTAGTTCCAGGACTTCCAGTAGAGACTGGGTAAGTGGGGACAGGAATTTTGCTTATAGTAACTCCAGTATGCATCTGATGATTTAAACGACTTGGTGTCGTCAATGTAACTTGGTGGCAATGCAGAGTATAGGCATTTTGGGGTGGGAGAACCCTAAAAGGAAATACTGTAACTTAATTCAACAAATAACCACCAGCTCCCAAGCTAGAATGAAAGACAAGAAAACCTTAACTGTTTGTGCAACTAGGATCTAGTACTAAACCCAGGTGTGGCACAAGGGAAGCGTCACTGAGCACCGAGCAGAACTTGCACCTAAAAGACCCCAATGAAAGCCCCCAATGGGGATTTTCCTGTTGGATTCCTTAGGCTGAATGCAAGTTCCTTTGCTTCGGAGAGGTGTGGGCAGCTCACCACTTGTCAATGTGGGAGCAGCAGCAGCACAGAGCTGTACAAAGGGGTGTGCAAGGGGGAAAATGGCTATTCTCAGGTGCCCAGATCCCCAGAGCTGGTATGCAGGTCCCAGGCAAGGCTACTTCAAAGCCGGTGCAGGTCCCTCTGCCTGGGTGGCCAGGTTGAGGCTGCAAGAGTGCTCTCCCCAGGCTGCAAGGAGAGCAGCTCCTGGCCTTCCCTCTTCCTTTTCCTTCGGGTAACCCAGCTGGCAGCCCTCCCTCGCCAGGACGTCCCTGTGCCTTGCTCCTGTGTGGCACAGCTGCCAGGGATGGCTGGGAGACAATGCCTGCCACCAAACTGCTTTCAGAGCAGGGAAGTCACAGAGGCAACAGGGGAAAGGGAGAGGGAAAATTCAGGAAGTCAAGGTTAGGAGAGAGCCCCATGCAGCTCCCAAAGCAATAGTTTGGTCACTGCTCAAATCCCGCTGGTGGAGGGGCCAGCCAGGCAAGTGACCCCAGACAGGCTCTGATGATCCAGAAGAAAGAAACCTGGGCCTCTTCAGTGCACTGGGATGCTGCTGCCCAGGCACACCAGGGTTGTGAGGGCGAGTGCTCAGCTATCAGACAGGCTGTGCCATACAGCATAGAATCCACGCGAAGGGACTTGTTTCACAAAGGTGCATCTTGCTCCGCTCTTTCCTTGGCTTGAGCCCATCACACCATTTTGTCCTGGGTAACATGAGCTCTAATCTACAGACCACAGTGACTGGGGATGGGAGAGTCGTGTAGCCCAAGGGAAAAGCAAAGGTATTTATTTTGGTCTTCTCTGTGCTGGCTGCAGCTGGCGCTGCTCAGGCTGGAGAGCCCACATCATCCATCTCTGCCCTGTGTAGGTCTAGAGATGAAAGGGCTGGCAGTGTTGGCTCTTGCCTTTGCATTAAGGCACAGAAGCAGGGTGTGAGCTGGGTTAAACAGGGCTTGCTTGCCTTGCAGTTCCCATGGGATGGGGCTGCCTGGGGAACGCTGGTTGCCAGGACAGCTGTGCTCTGACCTCCAGCTCATGCTGCCTTCAGACAACGCTTTCTCCAGGGTGTTGCCTTTGTCAAGCTGGCTCCATAATCCAAAGGCTAAGGTCTGGGGTCTTGGGGCTCTGGACCATCCC